CAACTGATGTGTTCAGAAGAAATCAGATATCAGTCTTTCCTTACACTAACAACTGACTATCTTTATTCTCTTTCATTCGATTGCGTAATCTTTGGCCTTAACCTCTTGCCTTTATTACGCAACCCACTTACCACTCTATGCATACATTGATTTTTTGTTTAAACTGGAACTCTCCATCAGCTGATATAATGTGAAAATTGCAAGTATGCTAAAATTCTTTCTCTACATATACCTAATAACATCTTTAGGCTGTAGACAGTCGACGATAAGCCGTAGAAATAAATGACGATACCATCTTATTTTGCACAAACCGCTGTTCTTGCTTTATTCAGATTCATAAAGGAGAATAAATGTTTGAGGTTTGCAAATATGTTTGCTTATGCATTCCAGTTTGAAACCTGCTAAAGTGATGTGAATAATTGTCAACAATTAAATGATAACCAATTGACTGTATTTGTAACGTAGAATCAAAGCACATCAGTTCATATCGCCACGCTCAGTGTAGCGTGTAAAGAAGGGGAAAATGAAAGGAAATGAATGAAAGGAAATGTACGGCTGGGAAGATAATTATTTCAGGAATAATAAGGATTTAGTGCATCTGACAGATTTCAAAGAGTGAACGAGTCTTTGCCATTGAGGACTAATTTGATCGACATCACTGCTCCCTAACACCTCGCTAGGTAACTGGTTCAAACCAACTATCAGAGATTTCACAAATCTCTGGCAGATTCTGATTTGGCGACCCCTAACTCTTCCCATGCCTATCCGATATCCGTTAAGTTCGCTCGACTAACATGTTACTGTAATGTATCACTAGTAAGAGATCTTGTACTATCCCTCACAAAAGCCCACCAGAAATATCAACATGAAGGCATTATTCCCAACGTAAATGTAACACTTATCCTACTGTATCAGGTAATGTTCGTAAACGTGCCAGAACAGTATATCTAAATTTATAATGGTAGAAGTTGAAGGATTCAACATAAGCATTAATGGGGGACAGTTTCAAGAGCGACAGGAATATAGCGACTTCCGAATCTGATGAAAACAATTCAGCATTAGCAGTAGCTTGATTCCAACAAATAAATGCCTTACAAGTCCACATAAAGACATCAGAAATTCATAGAACTATCATGAATAGCACTGAAAGTAATTATAATCTGTGGTAAATATTCTCTGTGTGAAAATGATCTTATTTAACGACCGCAAATAATAATTTTAGCAGAAATCAAAGCACTATTGATGGCAGTCAGACAGTTTATCCAATTCAACTAACAACTGACTCTAGAACCTCTACTCCATATATGTTATTTAAACACGTAGTGTCAGCATTAGTGTCTACACAGTAAAGGCCGTTCAAACTATAGACCGACAAACTCATATAAACTGAGAGTGATAGTGGCAGTAATGTGAATAAAACAGATTTAATTTCCTTCACGCGTCAGTGGTATAGCGGTTAGGACGCTCGCCGACCATACACATGGTCTGGGTTCGATTCCCGGCCGATGCACTCCTTTACCTCCCTAAGCCAGAAGTAATGGTGGTAAAGAGGAAAGGTTGGGCATGAGGCTAGCAACCCCATCCTGTAAAATAAACACTGCTACAGAAACTTCAAGCCACTAGCTTGGAGCCCTATGTTCCACTGGGGAACGTGAAGGAAAAAAAGATTCCTTCACAGTGTTTCTTTATAAGAAAGTTCAGCGTCAAAATTCTACTCCTACAGTAGTAAGCTATAAAATCTAACATAGCTAGATGTAGACAAAGAGTGACGACCTGATCTTTCATCATGGTATCAGTGCTTAATACTCGAATTGAGGATAAGTAACCTTAAAAATGCGCTCCGTAAAAACCAACTGACGATGTCATCTACGGATACAATTTTTACTGCCACCCTTCAAAAAACTTAAACCATCCACCGGTGCACCCGAGTGTTAAGGAAACGCTTCCTGTGTTCTCCGACTCCATGGGCATTTTTGTATTCATGTTCTGTTGTAGCGCTAAGTACGTGGGACGATAATCGAGCAACACATTACACTGTGTTCGAGAACACCTGTTATCTTTGATGAACACCATAAAGCCATTAACTCTTGTATGGTATAAATTCACATATTAACATTCATTGTCTGTTGTAATTGTCGTGACCTTTATACATTTCTATTTCTAATGAGTCTGCAATTCACAAACATCTTCATTAATATAATCGTACTTGAGTCCTTCCACCACCTATGGAATTTTAATACGCACACAGATGCACAATATACGTTCTTGTAACTGTCTGTTTTACAACTATGAAAATGAAATGGTCACAAAGGGAATATACTATGTTGATAGTGTTGTTTAATTTTGTCACAGTTGATCATGTCTTGCAGTTTAAATAGGGTTTGTTGAGATTAATCCAATTCATGTGATGTGGCTATTCCAAAAGGTCAAAGTAATTTATCCACCGTTTTCTAGATATTCCTGATAAACTACAGTGGTTTTTGATCTTAGTCACAGGAGAAGTTCTTTTTCCGATTTCTTCGTATTTATCATTTCTGCTAGTTGACATCTACAGAAAAGACCAGATAACCGCAAAAAACTCGCTTCATCTGAAATTCTACCACCTCCATAAGAATGATTTAAAACTAAGAGTGGTCAAGAGTATCGTGAAGACGGGCAATGTTATTAAACAATGCATGTAAAAAAAACTCCCAGTTATCTTTGGACAGAGTAAATGAATTATAATGAATCACCGTTTTTAAATCTTATTTGCTATCACAATATACCTATCATATTTTCTGATTCATTTCATTACTATGATACATGAAAATAAGCAGACTAGTTTGCAGAATGCCTCCCCCCCGCCGTCTCCTCACCGCTAATCGTTCTCCAGCCACCAAATACCAGTAAGGGTGCAATATTAAACTATTCGGAATCAAAACAAACAAAAAAAAACGGGAACTTAGAGAATCCAACAATCATTAAAATGTAAACATTAGAATGTAAAGTTGCCACGACGAAAATCTTCGTCGAAGAATTATCATTAGAATGTCAGACAATCAATTAGGAGATTAAAAAGTATTTATTGTGAGTCCGTGAATTTGATGCGTGCCAATTGTATATATTCATTTCTATTTGCTGAATATCTCAACTTTTCCATCATTGTGGTAAAAGCAAAGAAACAGTATCAGATAACCTTATTCTGCAGGATTTGGTCTTCTTGTTTTACGACATATAAATATCTGCTAAAAGGGGCCCTAACGGACTGCCCATAGCAACACTATCAACTTGGCGGAAACAATCGCCTTCAAATGTAAACCTAATATTGTTAGTACATAGAATTTTAAAGAGAAGGCTCCCTCCACACACTATCAAAAGGTTAAATGAACTGGTTAACCTTAGGTGTAAGATTATCGTCGAACGTAACACGTTGGAATTTTATGAATTATGTATTAAAAATCATTTCTTCCCGAGGCAATTTTATAAAACTTTGAAATTCAGTAAATTACAACCAAATATCTCTAATCTTGTTCGTCTTACAAGGTCACATATAGAAAATGTTAAACAAACGTTACAAGGACTACTTGTTCTTCATACCGATGCGTCACTTATTTTATCTGAATTATCAATAATATATCACATGAAATTTCTTCAGTTTTGTAAAGACGTTACTCAGAAAACAAAGACGAATACACAAAATAAGTTGAAGAGTTCAATTGATGATCGAAACCGCGTAGATGTCTTTCCGGTGAATCCTGATAAGTACGTTACAAATCTTTCTGATATTACTCTATCTACTCATCAGAAAGAAGCTTTATACCTTGGACTCAAATTTTGTGTTTCTCGCACGCAATTTACAGATTTAGCCATCCAAACTGAGTTTGAAAACTTATATGACTAACTCAAACCTCTTGCCGCAACATCCTATGAAGGCCAAGATGGTGGATACAGCTCACCAGTTTTTAAACAGCAACCCAAAGGAGAAAAGTATTTTAAATTCCCAGCATTTCAAAGCCTTGAAAGAGCTACGGGAGAATTCTAATATAATTATTAATAAACCTGATAAAGGTTCTGGAGTCGTCATTATGAATAAAAGTGATTACAAATCTAAAATGATGTCTATTCTTGATGATAAGAGCAAATTTAGCCGTGATCCCTCCTCAGAAGATATTCAGTTGTTGCAGGGCACAGTGACAGCTAATCTACTCAAGCTTCATGGCCTAAATGCTATAAGTAAAGATAAACTTGACTCATTAAAACCATCAGATTGTAAATTCCCACATATGTATGGGTTGCCAAAAATACATAAACCCAATAATCCTCTATGTCCTATATTGTCAATGTGCAAATCCCCAACGCATAAACTTGCTAAATGGTTAGTAGAATTACTGGATCCAGTCAAAACACAATTCTGTAAGTACGTGTTAAAGGATACATTTGAATTGGTTGATGATCTTGACGATAGTAACATTAATATTATGAATAAGAATATGTACTCTTTTGATGTAAACTCGTTATTTACTAATGTGCCTTTGATCAAAACAGTTGACATTTTGTGTGATTATATTTCCACAAACAATTTTTTCATCCCGTTCCCTATATCTTACTTAAGGGATTTATTACTTCTTGTTTTGCTCAAAAGTGTAAACAAATGGAGATATCACAAACAAGGATAGCATCCAAAGGCGAAACGTAAATGTCTTTATGTAAATAGTCCATTGCAACTATAACACATTCCGTTTGCACTAAACTCATGAAATTATGGCTACATCCTTTTTAGGAATGTATTGTCTGCTGCATCACATGAATTACTAGTTATTGCAGCAAACGATCGATAACTGAAATCCAACATATGCACTTCACATAGTATTACAAAACGATGATGATGATGATGATGGTGCATACATAATGTTTCCTTTCGATTTATTTACAAAATAACAGTAGAGCCTTCACAAGTTACACAACAGGCTTAAGATTATGGCAATCACGTAGGAATAACTACGACTGGAAGTGAAAATACTTCATCGGCTACTAGGATTCCAACGCAGTTTTCGACCATTGCAAGCACCATTCCACCACTGAGAAACATTTGGAAATGAATGTGGCTGAAGCTGATCGACAACATGAGCGAATAAGCACAACAAACACATCGGTCTAGGCTTCCAGTCATCTATAACTCCATGACCATGCCATGCAAAGTATTCGTTATATGCGGTGTCATTACGGTCCAAATACTTGAGATATTCAGCAAGCTTTGCAGGTGATTCAAATTGATCTACATGGATGAATGAGTGAGCTGGTGAAACGCGTTCATACTCCTCAACTGACGCCCCCATAACAACGGGAACTATATTATTCCTGTGACAGCAAAATAAATAATAGAGAAACAATCTGTTAGTCGGAGGAAATGAGTAGAAGCAGTCTGCAGACTTATAAAAACCGTCGGATTACTTGGAGAACAGCAGAGAAAACCAACATTGTCATGTCCATCCACATTCGGTTTTAAAAGTGGTTAACACACTGCTCACAGGATTTATGTAGGGAGATTTCATATGGTTATAGAATTCGGCATAAGTATTCGACACGGACATTCAAAACCTTCATGATTCACTGACTCAGTGAGAAGTGTTTTCGTTATTCATAATTTTACTGCTTGTTGTTAGACATCAAAAGTGTTTTACGATAAGTGCGAGAAAGTCTCTTTGTCACCTATTTATCGCTTGCTCAATATTTGGCTGTAGAATCAGTCGAGTTGTTGATCGTCGCTTTAGACCTATATTGTGTTGTCACTGTGACAGATAAATAAGAATTAGCTTGTTCCCAGCTGGATGTGTTCCTTTAAATCAGTTGATGTAGCTCTTCTACAACAAACTTAACAACCAATGATAATCCGTCTGCTTTTCTTGTACACTGCTTCAGATCAAACTAAACACTTGTGACATCCAATAATGAAGCACACTGTGGGAATCCTCCACTGTGTTTCTTGTAACATAGAAAAAATATTAAGAAAAGTATATAAGACAAGGCAACATTCCATTTATTTCGCTTACATGTAACCATTCCTGAAAAGCTTCTCCGTTATATAATCCGGACATAAGCTGTTTTCAAAGCTTAGGTAGAATTTGTAGTCTTTCTCAAGAAGCTTGAAACACTCAGTTTCTGAAGTTCTCGGGCAGCTCTTTGTACCACATCTTCCATAAATATCAATCTAAGATGGAAACAATGTTGACTCATTGTATTTCTTTGGGATATCAAAAGTAAAAGTTATTATTAGATTGAATAGAATCCTATTGTAACATGTTGGTTTTCTAATGTATACAGTCATTTCTGCCAGGGTTAATACCAACTTCAACAAATTTACAGTGTGTTGTCCATTTGTCAAAAAATTTACAAAGCTTGCACCTTATTGAGAGACAAGATAGCTGTTTTCCTATGTAAAACAGGGGGCTTCGCATTCTTCAGACATGATAACTGTGCCATGAATGATGCACAGGTAGAACACGAATCTGATTCTCCTGATATACGTAGATGGTTGAAAACCTATGCCTGTTTTGAAGACGCCTATTTGCTACTCATTGTAAAATTTCTTAGAATTTAAAATTTCTTAAGTCAATCAATGTTAATATTGAACTTCATCTTAATCGATGCAAAGTTAAGTTTTTCCAACATTAGGAAAAGCTGTGTGAGTGGTTACTATTGATTGTTAAGTTGTAAAGACAGAAGACAATGGCGAGTCAGCAGATCGTTCATTGAGAAAATCAGCAGATATTTATTGACTTTTATGTACATTATTATTATTATTATTATATCCTTTAATCCCTAGAGGAACATAGGGCTTCAGCTGCCCACCTCCACTGCCTTCTGTTTTCTGCCAACTTTTTCACCACATTCTGACCACATGCTTTCATCTCCTCTCACATGACCTCATCCGAGTCACCCTTGCACTGAGGACCAACTCGCCGCCCGCTTCCCTTTCGGGTTCCACTGGAGTGATGGCTTGTCTAGTGATGTCACTTGATGGTTTCCTCAGAGTATGCCCAATCCACCTCCATTTCTTCCTGCCTGTTTGTTTCACAATCGGTTCCTGCTGTGTTGGTTCGCTCATTGCCAGACATCCCACCCTGTTGCTGATCTTTTCTGGCAGGCCATCTGATCTTGAGTAGTATTGAGCGAAGACAACTGTTACTGAAGGTCTGAAGTTTGTTTGAGATACTCTTTATGACGCGCTGGCCAAGTCTCTGATCCGTATGTTAAGTAGCACTGACTTCACATTGGATTTGAAAATCCGGCTCTTATTTTTGATGCTGGGTGCTGTTGACCTCCACACAGACTTGAGAGTAATGAAAGCCTGACTAGCTTTTCCGATTCTGGCTTTGATATCCTCGTCAGTTCCGCCCGCCTGTGGTTGAAACTATGCTTCCCGTGTCGGTAGGTGAAGGAGGTTGTTTCTTCCAGGTTCCTCCCATTTATGCTGGCTGATTGTTGTCTGTTGGTATTGTTCAGGAATCTTCACCACCTCTGTTTTATCTATGTTCACCTGAAGGCCTATCTCCTCTGGATGCTTCTTCTTCCAACTTGTTGCTTTTCACTTGCATATCTTCCAGTTTGTGGCAAATCAGACATATATCATCGGCGAAGTCCAGATCCTCCAAGTTCTTTTTTGTGTGAGTCCATTTTATGCCTGTTCCCTCGTTGGTTGCCGTTGTCTGTCGCATTATCCAGTCTACTGCAAAACTTATGGATGATATATACTAATAATCTAAGATAACCTTATTTCCTCAATGATTATCTGGACGAAATAGAGTCAAGAATTGAAAACATTTGTTTCCCGATGCGAATTTGTACACTTGTTTGTTTGAAATAGGGTCAATCTGAACAAGAAGGAAGACAGCTAGCTCGGTTGATATTAATTCGTTGCATAGTTTGGTCGTCGTGTCTTAGGAAGACGTAGTTAACAAGGCTCCCTTGAAATAAGTTCCGCGTCTCTTGACACTCTTAAGCATTTTGTATCACTGAACTTGAAGAGACCAATGAAGAGAAGATTTAAATGTGTGACTATCTCTTCACCAGAAGATAATTTAATGTAATGCAAGTTATATCTTATCACTGTCTTCAAGTCATTTCTGTAATCCTGTCTATAAACTATTATTTCCACTCAGTATTGACAGATTTAATTAAATAAATAAAATCAGCCGAACATACAGAAAAATATTAAAATATTGATTTGTTAGCAATTCTTACTAACGAATAATATGAATTGAAAAGTGGAAATTAGCTACCATTATAAAAATATCATTATACGGAAAGTGTATTTAACAAATAATCCAGTGAAACACATTTTTAAAAGCAATTTCTGCGAGTACTGCAAACAATGACACACACACACACACCTTTAAATGCTTTGACAGCTCCTGCACATATTGATTTCTTGGACTTTTAGCAAAACAATTAGTCACAAACCATGCAGCCATTTTAGTCTTCCCAGTAGCATAATTACGAGAAGGAAGTGGATATCTTGTATCCGGACCATGAGTTGGATCGATTGGCTTATAATTATGATACGGAAGGTAGACTGAGGAATCCGTTCGGAAGGTGATTGTGTAGTTTACCTGATAGCAAATAATAAGCATTAGTATTTTGCTAAATTTTTGAGTCTAAGAAGAAACGATGGTATAATTAGCTTATATAATAATAAAGTCGTGGGAAAACTGTTTAATGTTTATAGCGCTAGGGGATAACTGGCCCCAACTTTACTACTAACAGTGAACTGTGGATGTAGGTGTATGCGGGGCACAGGTCAATCTACTAGCACTTACCAGAATACTTTCTGGTATTGTTTCATATATAATTTTTCTTATATTCATCTCTAATTTACCTTACTACCTGAAATCTCCACAAATAGGCTACATTATTTTTAAGTCACTCCCTTGATTTCAGAATGAAGCTTTTCTTGAAGGTTGAATAATCTTTTTGGCAATATTAGGACAGAACTTGGACACTGCAGTAGAGTATAATTCCATCATAGAATAAATTCATTTGATAAAACCATACAGTGATACAGTAATATTTACTCATAAAGTTTCCAGCGCAATTTACTGCTCATAATTATATCAAGACCTCATCAGTGAATGAAAACTTATCACTGTCTAGCGACAAGGCCTAATTCAGGTAGGTAGTAACCTGGGTTATAGTGAGAAGTCCTGACCAGTGGTGTACAGCAGGTAGGGTGTGGGAAAAGCACTCACCGAAGACATCAGCTAGTGGTTTCGCTTAGTTGTGAATTGGCAGTAGATGGAATTCATGGGCTGGTCATTTGGTCGTGTAACAGCTGCTTAGTGGTTTACGAGCTCGCCTAGTGGTCAAAAGTGACTCGGTTCGAGCGCCATTGGTGGGTGCATACTGATGAAGAAATCAAAACCCTGCAAACTATCACTTGAAATGTCTAGTTTTATAGAAGAAATTTATTCTACAATGGAATTCTTTTGCTGTTTCCACAAATTCTGTATCGTAGTTCTTTCTCTTTTCAAAGACTGTATATTTGAATAAAGTAAGAACATAAGTTTGTGCAAAATGAGAGGATACTATTGTTTATTTTGTTGGCTTTTCATCAGTTACACTCAGCCAAAAGAAACTACTAAGTTTGTATACAAAACAATTTTAACATATTTGCAAATTTCATATGATGTCAGTTGATAGGAGGCTGAAAACTTGATAAGCAGTGCTCAGAAATTACACCTATATAGCTTACACACAGAAAGTGTGTGCATACATGAATAAACGCTTGGATGCAATGGCAAAAGAGTTACGAAGTAAAGACAAGAGGTGGATGAGTAATTCGTACCTCAAGTAACAGTCTGGTGAATCCAACTCAAATCATAGGAAGAAGAGACAAGCAAAGTTACGTTACGGCGAAGGGATAGAGGTTAAAGACAAAGATTACGCAATCGAATGAAAGAGAGTAAAGATAGTCAGTTGTTAGTGTAAGGAAAGACTGATATCTGATTTCTTCTGAACACATCAGTTGGATTTCAGGCGTGTGATAGAGATCGCTTCACCAAACTCCAGGAGGACTGAGCTATTTTGTCTATCAATAATTCTGAAGGATTTCATGGTGTCCACTTCATGACCTGTAACCGGGCGACACCTGATAATGGCACTATTGAAAGCGTCTGCTCCCTTGAGACACAGGCTTTTTGGTAGATGTTAATGAAAATTGAGGTGTGTCCCTCTTTTTCTTCTCCAGATGTGACTGTCATCTGAGATAAAGGTGACACAGGAAAATGTTTCTATGCATAGACTTAATAATTTCTGTCGGCTGAACGCAGCTGATGAGAAGCCGATAAAATAAACGATGGCATCATCTTATTCTGCACAAACTGTTGTTCCTGCTTCATTCAACTTCATAAACGGGAAAAAGTGTATGAACACTCCGCATAACTCACGCTCAACATACTTGGAACTTTTCTTTCTTTCAATTATGGTTTCTGCCAGGGTTAATACCAACTTCAACAAATTTACAGTGTGTTGTCCATTTGTCAAAAAATTTACAAAGCTTGCACCTTATTGAGAGACAAGATAGCTGTTTTCCTATGTAAAACAGGGGGCTTCGCATTCTTCAGACATGATAACTGTGCCATGAATGATGCACAGGTAGAACACGAATCTGATTCTCCTGATATACGTAGATGGTTGAAAACCTATGCCTGTTTTGAAGACGCCTATTTGCTACTCATTGTAAAATTTCTTAGAATTTAAAATTTCTTAAGTCAATCAATGTTAATATTGAACTTCATCTTAATCGATGCAAAGTTAAGTTTTTCCAACATTATGAAAAGCTGTGTGAGTGGTTACTATTGATTGTTAAGTTGTAAAGACAGAAGACAATGGCGAGTCAGCAGATCGTTCATTGAGAAAATCAGCAGATATTTATTGACTTTTATGTACATTATTATTATTATTATTATATCCTTTAATCCCTAGAGGAACATAGGGCTTCAGCTGCCCACCTCCACTGCCTTCTGTTTTCTGCCAACTTTTTCACCACATTCTGACCACATGCTTTCATCTCCTGCTCACATGACCTCATGACATTATGTACATTATTATTCGTTATTGTTAGCAGAGAAACAGCGTCTTCTGATTGGTTGTTTCCCTGCTGAAGGTTATTCTGTCATTTCTTTGTTGCCGTTTCTTAAACAGTCTGTGGCATGCATATCTGCGAATCGTATCCGCCCACAGTAAGTCTGCTGCGATTGGTTGTTGGGTTGCTCAGGGTTAGGCTTTGTTCTTGTTTTTTCTCATAACTCCGATGCGGAACGTAAACATTGACGTGAATTGCTGTCTACCAGTTCTAGCTAGCAGACAGCTCTCACCACAAAGTAATCAAAGGAAACATAGAACTAAGACTTTAACTAGCGCATGTTATCATTTTATGAAAGAATCAATCTTGTAATATTCCGTTTTTTTGAGAACATTTCATGGATTGAACTACTAGGTGGTTAGAGGTAAGTGGCACGATTCCCTAGACACAGGTTTATTGTTTATTGGCGTCCTCTGACAGCGGAGTATTTTTATTGCCCAAAGAACCCGAATAAATTTAAAGTGTATGGCAACGGTAAGTTATTCAGCACAATAACTGCATAGCAAATAAGAGTGATAGAATCCAACCCGCATATGAGAAATCAATCATTTAGAATTTATAACTCACTTTGTTGCCCAAGTAATCGGCGATACTCACATGAAGAGGAGACTCATGTACAAAAATGAACCATAATTGATTCGGTCGCCTTTCTCCATGAGGATAGGTCTGGTCTGTTAAGATGACAATATCAGACTCTTGCCATTTGGATCTATCAAATGTCAGTTCACATTCACAGGCATGACATGAAGAGAAGTTACTAATGGTAGTTATCTGAATTCTACCATAGTTCACAATTAATTTTTTCTTGATCTGAAATTGATGAAAAGAAAATAAAACAATGTAAATTTTGAGTTTAGTAATAAATTTTTGCTTTCCTTAAATCTTCGTACAAGACAGATTTATTCTGCAGAAAAACAACAACTACAAACACCACGCTACCTTGGTGAATTAAACGAAGTAATGCAGTATTCGTTACGCCCTTCATTCTCCATTATCTCCTGATATGTAGCTTCATCTCAACGTCACTCACCTTCATGTTCTTACATTACATCATCGAAATTCATTTTCTCTTTTATACAACATATCGAATCGATATGCTCGTCATAGTTAAACTTCGACACTTCCTAAATATTGTAAACGCTATTTTTCCATCAAGAATATTCGTCTAATCATCCTTCAAATAGCCAATCATTCGAACTCCTAATGATGCAACAACTCACATCATTCCAGCATTATCCAGGCATTACCTATGCCTCAATTCAGACACTCGATCTCATTACATCGAAACTTATGTTCAAATATTTCACATAATTTATATTTTGTATCGTTCGAGTTGCAACCAGATAAGAAGAGACTACCAGACAATGAATCATGAGCTCAAATTATCCTGCTTCTTATCATTACTTTGCAATACTCCAGAAGACTTTTGATTACTCACTTGTGATACTTCAAATATTCCTCACTCACACAGCTTATAAATCCGTGAATAAGTACACTCATGACCACGAGTCGATGTTCAATCTCAAATGAATTTCGAGACTTCAAATCGACAAGCATGAAAACCGATCATACTCCCGTCGAAAACGTTCCCTCTGTGTTGGCAAGCAAAGTCACTTAATCAATTCACCGTTCAACTTACAATTCATTAAATGTCTGTCAACGATAATCAGATGGTCAGTCGACAAATATTTCAACTCAGTGAAGAAATTAACAAAGTTATGCTGTTGGACTCTAATCAATCTCCCGCCTGGCAATTTTCTCTCTAGATATCCTACGTTAGGAGGTGATTTGTCTCACTCTTCCGATTAACTTATAATTCATTCATTCTTACAATTATATACTATCCCTGTTAGTATTACTATGAGAATAGTCCAGGTCTCTAGTTACTGGTTTTTCCCGTAATATCCGACCGATGTGAAGAGAATATTACGTGGTGCATTAGTGATGAACTACACTGCATCGAGACTGTTGTTTACAATAAAGTCGTCATCATCACCGTATTCTCCAAGTTGTTTTCAACGAATCGACCTGTGTAGACCACTGAAGGTATCGAAATTAGACGACTCGAGATAATTCTACTCAAATCTAGAGAGGACAAATTATCTTTAGTGACTGACTGACTGACTGACTGGCCCATACATATATTACGGAGAGTCTAAGTGAGAAGTCGTGATTGTTGGTCCCAACCGAGTTGGAGTTGAAACTGACTACAGTGGATGGAGATGTAATGACACGGAGAATTGACAATGACGAGTTATAACAGAAAACATGAGACTATCATCCATATACTGATTCGAAACCTCCTCGCTTACAAAGACTGAGGAATGTGGTTTCGATCGCTAATGGGGTCGTGGTTATGTACTGTGAACGATTCTCATACCGAAGTCATTGCATGAAATGTGAACATAATGTGTGTTAGCAATAAATCAGAATAAATCAACTTACACCAGACTCTCTCTTCTTATTATCGTATAGATTCTCGAGATACTTCTCAGTAAAGCCCAGAGTCAGTTTGTTCTCATTCCTTTCCATTTGTGATGAAATATATCGCTGTTTCGTTCTTTTCTTCTTCTGACTCCAATTAGTTGGAATTCTCGATGAATTTGTGACGAATGATTTCATACTTTGTGTTGGAAGCGCTGAACTCAACTGTTCAGATTGCAGAAAATTTCTCCTAACTACGTAATTCAGACACCACAAAAGTGTTACAATGATCCCCAAAACGAATCCAACCTTCGTTTTATTCATTTGAATATTTCGTTAACTGAACGTTTTGCGGTTTTATGCGAAGTAACTTTGAAAGCAAAATGAGGGCCAATTAAGAAACGACCAATGCAAATGGCTTAGAAGATAAAGTCGATCATAATAAAATTAACAATCAACAATGAATTCATAAGGTCATATATGAGAACGGTAAAAGAACGAAGGGCACACATTGATTGGATGAATGTTATTTTACCTTGTGAAACTACTAAAGAAGTGCAACTTAGGACTATGCTATGCACATTGCTATAACCAATGTAGGCGGAGTGGAGTAGAGAAAGAGGTATTCTTCGGACAACTGACTGGAAATAGCAATGAACGAGACTTTAACCAGTTGGCAACATTGGAATTCTGGTGAGCGGTGTGAATGCCGATCAAACTAAAGCATGAACAAAGCAAGAACAACAATTGTACCAGGACTTTATGAGCTCATCTTTTATTATTTCGAGGATTCTTCTCAACTAGTTACAACCTGAACGTTAAAAAATGTAAATTATATTAAAGATATGAACATACTTTTCCACTATCATAAGGAGTAATTGGTAGGAATTAAAAGTAACATTAGTCCGGAATGATTTAACTGATTAGGAGTTACAAACACTGACTATTTATAGAATAATTAGACAATTAGGCTTGGAAACAAAAAATAACAGGGTTGCGTATATATGTGTGTGTATAGAAACAAGGTTTAACTAGAAAGAGTATAACAAAAGAGTAGATTACGCAACTAAAGAAACCATCTTATCTAAAGCAGATAACACAAAGAATAACTCGTCATGGATCGACAGGACTCCCATGAAATCAGTGAGAATGGAGAATACTTTGTAGAAATCCTAGCACGTTTAGTGATTTGGTGATTGGGAGCAGTGTGTGCAAGCGCAGATATGTCCATCAGGTAAAGTAGGCTTTCCCAGACGATACAGAAAATTCAAACAGGGTTCATCTCAATCTGAAAAAAGTGAAGATACAGACTACTTGACACAAGATTGACGAACGAAGCCGACGTAGGCTTTGACCACTACATAGTGCAAGTAACCTTCAAGACCAAGTTGGAAACTTTCAAAGAAGCTGGAGAGAAACTACAGTTCAAGTTCACGAAATGAATGGACTGTGTTACAAGGGACACCTTAACGGTAATCATCAGGAGGATGGTGAACTAGACGATATTAGTAAGAAGAGAACATGAAGTTCAGCAAAGATATCTTTTCGGCGATTTCATTCTCAAATCGCCGTACAATCGCATTTATATAGATTATTTTACATGGATACAATTATTATTTGTTTAATTCCACATAGTAATTAATGAAGGTGATAATTGTTTTCAACTTGATATGAATTACAAGAGGCTTAGAAACGCAAGGATAGAACGAATTACATGTGTGAACAAAATGAGCATGGAAACAAATTGAAATCAAAATTTTCAACTTGAAATGTAAGGTAGGAAGGAGGTGTGAATATAGATTACAAGAAGCATAGAAACAAAAATTACACAGGGTTAGAATATAATTGTAAAATTGTTATTCTAAACGGATTACAAATGTATAAACTGTAAATTATAGGGAGTTCAATCTACGATTCAGTTAGAAAATGTACAGACGGCACTAGCTGGGCACTAGGAGTGGACAGGCAGTATTGGCTGAGTGTGCAATCGATCAAGCGAAAATTCTGAGAAGTACTACAGAATACCTAAATGATGAAACAAAACAGATAGATGAAACATTCGTGCTACATAACTAACTACCTGATGAAATTTACTGAGAAGTTCAGTAACAACATAATGAAAAATATCAGTGGAACCACTGACCATAATATAAATAAGGAGTTTGACATCTGAAACCTTACATAGGATACCTGATAAAGTAAGGATATGTATGGGTGGTATTTAAACCCACAAACTCCTACAAAGTCATTCAGTGGCAAGTTCTGTAGGCTAAAGGACTCTATTCAGACAATATATGAAAAAGAAATGAATTTTTAATACATTAAAAGAAATCAAATTTCACTTTTAAGTACTTACTATTAGGATTTTTCCTTCTTAGTAAGCTGATACACAGGCGTACTTCACAGTTACATCCACCAATATTTATCATATTTGAAATTAGTTCATCGATCCTATTTGGTTTCAAAGTCTACTATTTCACAATGCCTAATAAAATTATCCGATTCTGTTATATTGTGTGAGTAAAGGAGTGTACAGACAGATCATAAGCGTCTTTTGATGTGAACTTATCCAACAAAGTAATAATAATTGCAAATATAGTAACAGTGAATGTGTGGAAAACTAATGAGCAGTTTGGTAACCATAGTTATACTTGGATACTTATTATTTTACTCAAGTCACTTTCAATATTAAAGCTGACTGAACAAACTTCTATAGACCAAGGGCAATCGAACACGTTACTTCCTACCCTTAAAGGTCATTCACTTCATCAATGACTCTACATTATCGCCAATGCCAACAGAATTGTTTACTGTAGTATTAATTGGTTGCAGATGGAAGTAATTACTGAATAAACTCACCTGTCTTTGCATAGTTGTTTCTGAAACCTATAAAGTATACTTCATAGCATTGTCGTCATGAGGAGAAATGTAGATTCAACGCAGGTTGAATTTTAGTAAACACTGTGAAACTAACATTTGAAGCGAATTGACTTTCCATTATTATCACTATTTTCATTATTATTACTATTACTGTTACAACTGCACATTTTTACAGTTGTTAACATCACTCCTATGGATGTTTATTTAATTGTCTTTAAAAGACACTTACTGCCCACTTCCAAAGAAGGCTTTGCAGCGATTCCACAGGGTGTAACCTTACGGCTATCACATAAGCAGGCGGAAATATGGATATCTTTGATTTTAAGTGGTACATCATCAGTCTAATGAAACATCACGTACAAGCATAAATATTATTTACATTTCATGCTGTTTATTTCATCAAGAGCGATTTATCTATTAACCTGTTCATTAAAAATGAAGTCTATTCTGATATTGTCTTGATAAGTTCCCTCTGTTTTCTTCTCTTTCCTCAACCAAATCGCATAATTAGCAGATGTTTTTTGATCAACACAACGACCACCACCACCACCGCCGTCGCCTAGTCTACTACCTCACTAGATTTCTAACTAATCTCAAATCCGGGAGAATAAGGAGGGTTGGGTGTGAGACTAGCGAACCCACTCTGGAAAATGAATTCAATCTCTAAAGAAACTTCAAAGCACATGGAAAATATAAAAGACAAACTTATTCTTTGCTGGAATCTGAGAGGCGAAATGACACAGAGAGTTGGTCAAAGACTTTGGGAAGCCAGTCAGCCAGCAAATGCGTCTTCTTTTGATGAGAGCTAAACTAGGCACTGGGATGTTGAATGTTCGTACAATGTATGAAGCTAAGAAGGCTGTTCAGGTAGCCAAGTAAATTAGACGGTATGACATGAAAGTGCTGCGAATCTATGAGAGTAGGTGGACTGGATGTGGACTATCGAAATTGTCAACTGGTGAGTCAGCAGTTTACTCAGGTCACCCAGACGACAACCACGAAAACACTGAGTAGCTATCATGATGTCACCAGTCGAGGTCGAAGCTCACATGCGGTGGTAACCGATCCCCTGCAAGGAAAGTTACAATGCTACGCGTAAGCGAAAGAAGCAGACTGAGTGGAGAAGAAGAAGAAGAAGAAAGACAACTGCAAACAGTAATGGACAAAATCTCAAATGGTGACATCAAAATCCCCTTGGGCGTTATGATTTATAAACTGGGAGCAGAAAATACAAGAAGATAATTCATCAAGGGACGAGAAGCCCCTTGCAAACTCAATAAGAACGGAGAACCCCTTCGTAGACCACTCAGCCTTCAGTGATTTGGTGACTGGAGGTAGCGTGTACAAGCACAAGGATGTACACAAGCAACACGGATTTTACCTGACGGATGCATCGAAAGTCACATAAACTTAATCTCTACTTCAAGAAAGTGGAGACACAGCCTTCTGGACAGAAAGTCGAGAAGGGAAGCAAATGTGTACTCAGAACACCATCTAGTTCAAGAGACCCTCAAGGTCAAGCTGAAAGCATTCAGTACAACTGTAGACAGAACACAATCAAAATTTACCACTCGGAAACTGCATTCATCAGAGCGAAGTTGGAGACACTACGTGGCATCACTCAGGAAACCTGCATGGAAGAACATTGGAACTAACTCACTGAAGGTGATGTTCAAGGGAACGTGTACAACCGGTCTAGGAGGAAAGAAGATCCAAGACAAGAAATTACTCTCAATGGCTACCCGTAAGCTAAAAGAAGAGAGGGAAATGATGAAACAGAGGATGGACCAATTCGAATATGGACGACAGGAGAAGGAGAAGCTAAGTTCGACGTACACTGAACTGAATAGAGGAGTGATGAAGAGTGCTAGGAAAGACAAAAGACAATTCTATGACACACTGGCTGGCAAGTGAGGCAGAACAGACAGGCTAGAAGTAGACGAGACCTCAGAAGATCATATCAGACAACCAGGTATTTAGAAAATCAAACCAAGGGATTCAGTGAAGACACTTTTCTCAACCAATTTATTATCAAGACGTACACTCGTATAAATATGGTTTCTATGAAATAATATCCGGTGAGGGAATTGAATCATAGTTGTGAATGCATAAAAAAAATAATAGTAGCATAAAATGCAACTAAAATGTTCGTGATTATACCGAGTAGCAAAACACTTAATGTCATATATAGAAAAATTCATAGGAAAATAGGTGTTCGAAGGGGGTGTTAAATTAGAGTATTGGTAGGTGAATAAAATAAAAATAAAAACGTCACATAAAACTGTGTGAAATTTAGTAACATAGAATTTATCGTTGCAAAACAAATGACTTAGAATGACAAGTGGGATGAGTGAGATAATACCTAATGACGCAACAACGCACATCATTCCATCGTTATCTTACCCATGTCTCCAGTCTGACACTCGATCTCATCACATCGAAACTTATGTTCAAATATTTCATATAATTTATATTTTTGTATCATTCGGGCTGTAAACACATAACAAGAGTCTACAAGACAATGAATCATAAGCTCAACTTATCTCGCTGGTTAGTATTGTGGTGAGAGCTGGCTGTTAGTCAAAATTGGTGGACAGTAATTCACGTCAATGTTTATGTCCGCAATATTGGTCGTGAGGAAAATGAGGACAAAGGCTTTGCGTAGGCGGATACAGTTAACATATAGATGATCTGATATTCAAGAAATAACCACAAAGAGATGCAAGGTTAACTTTCTGTGAGAAACAACCAATCAGAAGACTGTGTTTCCTGCTAACAATAATCCAAAATATGTACATGAAAATCTATAAATATGGGTTGATTTCCTTAATGAACGATCTGTTGCCTGGCCCTTGTCTTCTGCTGTTACAGTATTACTTTGCAATACTCCAGAAGACTTTTGATTACTCACTTGTGATACTTCAAATATTCCTCACTCACACAGCTTATAAATCCGTGAATAAGTACACTCATGACCACGAGTCGATGTTCAATCTCAAATGAATTTCGAGACTTCAAATCGACAAGCATGAAAACCGATCATACTCCCGTCGAAAACGTTCCCTCTGTGTTGGCAAGCAAAGTCACTTAATCAATTCACCGTTCAACTTACAATTCATTAAATGTCTGTCAACGATAATCAGATGGTCAGTCGACAAATATTTCAACTCAGTGAAGAAATTAACAAAGTTATGCTGTTGGACTCTAATCAATCTCCCGCCTGGCAATTTTCTCTCTAGATATCCTACGTTAGGAGGTGATTTGTCTCACTCTTCCGATTAACTTATAATTCATTCTTACAATTATATACTATCCCTGTTAGTATTACTATGAGAATAGTCCAGGTCTCTAGTTACTGGTTTTTCCCGTAATATCCGACCGATGTGAAGAGAATATTACGTGGTGCATTAGTGATGAACTACACTGCATCGAGACTGTTGTTTACAATAAAGTCGTCATCATCACCGTATTCTCCAAGTTGTTTTCAACGAATCGACCTGTGTAGACCACTGAAGGTATCGAAATTAGACGACTCGAGATAATTCTACTCAAATCTAGAGAGGACAAATTATCTTTAGTGACTGACTGACTGGCCCATACATATATTACGGAGAGTCTAAGTGAGAAGTCGTGATTGTTGGTCCCAACCGAGTTGGAGTTGAAACTGACTACAGTGGATGGAGATGCAATAACACGGAGAATTTCAGTTTTAGCGAAATGGAATAGACTAGGTTCCTTATACATGTTGATTATTTTAAACGCCATCAGATTTTTCACAGTATAACTAGTGTCCAATCACACTGTTTAATACTTCCGTCGCCTACAGTTGCAGGTTCTCTGGTTTGTAAGGAAAGACACACGTTTTGATCAGCGATGCAATATTCCTTTACAACGATTTCATTTTCAAGACAACTATGCAGTCGTATTTATATTACGGAAAAAGGCATTGAATGGCACTAGAAATTGTTCAGTCCACTTACATGTGATGAGAATAAGGGTAATTAAAATGATGTACTGAGGGAGTAGCGTTAATGATCATTAAACAACTGAACTGGTTGGTATAAAGATTATAAAATTACAGTTCGTGTTACTTAGAAATCAGAGTGTACGATGATGATATTGTTGAAGACGGTGAAGTTGAATTGAGGTGGGATGAGTTCAAGTGGTAAAGTATAATGAAATAAAAAAACACTAATATGACCAAGGCAAAGAGAAGGGTTTAACGGAAGGTTCTTGAACACACCATCTAGGATTTTCGCCATGTATAGCTAGTGCTTCGGCTATGCATAATTGGAGAAAACGGAAGCTTTAAAAATGTTCGGATATACTCCTGTTGATAACTTTGAAGGATAATGCTAGTGGGGCTGAATGACTTGATTTCAGAAGGTGTTCACAAATTGAAGACTTCGTAGTCCTTTGCTTACCTCTGGTTACCTAACCCTGATAGTGTTCAGCTTCTCGTTCACGTTGTCTAGTAATGTCACCTGATGGTTTCCTGGCCATACTGTGAAGAAACCATCAAGTGACGCCACTAGACAAGCCATCACTCGAGTGGTACCCGAAAGGGAAGCGGCGAGTTGGTCGTGAGTGGAAGGGAGACTTGAAGGAGGTCATGTGAAGAGGAGATGAAAGCGTGTTGACAGACTTGGAGAGGGATGAAAACGCTGGCAGGAAACCGAACGCTATGGAGGCGCGCGGATGAAGCCCTATGTTCCTCTAGGATTTAAAAGAAATAATAATGATACTCGTTCATGGAGGGCACGGTTACAGCTTTCTCGAAAAGAAATATTTCTTTGCTGAGCGAAAACTGTGTCTCTGGTTTGTGTTTAGAAATCGGACAATAACGCAACTCTCTGTCGCTCCAGTATATGTGCTCTGGGACATATGTTCATTATTAAGTGGAGTTTGAGATAGGTAATGCAGGAAAAGTTGTGCTTGACAGTGATCTCATAGTGCTAATCGAAAATTGAGGTCTTGATCCTGGAAGACAAGAACGCAGATAGTGCCAGTGAAAGATACTGAAGGGGACTCAATTTTCAGAGGCGGAACAAAGGAACTACGATGCACTATTGAACCCGCAAGCACAGGTGTCATAAATTTGAATATGACTTCAGAGATAGATAACTCAGTTCTGTTAATGATTTCATGATTAACCTGGTGAAATTTGTAATACCGTAATATCTATATCGATTGGTGA